ATATATATATATATATATATATATATATATATATATATATATATATATATACATTTTTTTAAATATATGTACATTCAAAATATATTATATATAATATAGATAACATTTTAGATCACTCAATATGCTTCTCTCTCTAGTATTGATATCAATCAATTGCTTCTTCGATTTTCTTTAATTCTTAATTGTAGACACTATATAGATTAGCGGATATTAAAGGAGGCAGGCCCACTCCCAGAGATACCACGTTATCACTAGTTTCAGGATTGATGGCAGATTCACTGTCGAGACGTTTGCCGACCTTGCCTTTGTGGGCTGTTTTGCAGATATTGGGTCGGGACGGTGTGCATAACAGATTTAAAAGGTGTTTTTTGGTTGTGGAAGAATTGTACAATAAGATTAAAGAATTCCCCTGTATTAGAATATTGGTAAGTTCTCATATATGGGTCAAGTATGTGTACTTGCGAAATATGTGACAACGGCGCTGATTGTTAAGATAAATTCTTTTCTGTTTTTATTTCACCAGAGTCAACCGCCAGGCGGTGAAACGGAAACTTATACGATAAACGAGTATCTGACGAATCCTGTGAACAATCTACAGTTATTCGAGGTGGTGGCAAGCGCGTTAGTTTTTCAATTCATACCTACGAATAAGAATCTTCAAACTACGGAACGCGTACTACCCTATTACGACAAGTTAAACTCTTGGTTAGGGCAGATTCTTCAAAGAGACATTGATAATGTACAAATAGAGCTTTGTGATATAGAACATTGCGGTGTCGCGATCCGTATATGTCCATTGGAGAATCCCGACCGGCCACCAACGTCCGAGGATATAGACAATTTGATGACTTGCCTTGAACAACAAATAGTAAGCATATTTTTAATCGCATGGAATTACATCTTTATTAAATGTATAATGATAAATATTGTAATTCTTATTGACTTTGTCTTTACTAATAATTTATATACTACTGTATTATTTTCAATTTATTTATACACTTGTGTAAATGTTTTTAATTAATTTATAGTTATTTATAATTTAATCTTAATGATTTTATACAGTTCAGCTTTCGAGCCACATTTAATGTTAACAATATGATACGAATATAAGCATACAAATATTAACATGTTATTAACATAACAGTAATTCAGTCAATAATGATGCCGCAATTTTTCATATCGAAAATAGGAAATATTGATAGCAACAGTGGAGCATAAAGACACGTTCGTACGTTTAGTCTCCGAAAACGATTCTTTACATTTGGTGGAAATGCCGGGTTGGGCAGGTTTAGGAGGTGTGCGTTATGCTCCACCTACGTGGATTCACGTAATGACCGATCAAGCGAAAGAAGAATTAAATAGACTGAACACGCAGCTGGTCGAAACCATACGCAGCACAGACGCTGCGTTTTCTCTCGGAGAAGGCGCGGATGGTTTAGCTTGCGTGCGATTTGGTATGGTAACACAAGATACAGGTGAATGCGCCATTAAGCATAACTATAATTTTACATAAATATCTTGTGTATTCATCAAACGTATTATTTGCAGATGTGGCTGAACTGTTAACTTTAGTCTTGCAAGTTGGCCAAGAGGTGGAAGCTAGCTCCAAAATGCTAGACACTATATCCGAAGTGGTGAAAAGAGGAATCGAGACAGCGCAGATCGATTTGGAAAGGGAAAACGCGGAGAAACTTTGGCAAGAGGGTATCCTCCGACATGTCCCTGTAGTAGGGACTTTCGTTAATTGGTGGAGTCCTCCTTCAAAGGAGACAGGCGTCCGTGGTCGTAGTCTAAACCTGCAAGCTGGTAAGTGTGATTTTCATAACTGTTTTTTTTTTTTTATTAATCGTAACACGTACTGTATCGTATCCGTTAAAACAGGTGTCGTGGAAAGTACCGAGAATATTTACAAGTATCATATGCAGTTGCAACCAAATTTCACAAACAGTAACGGCTCCGGGGCTAGAACTCCGCCGCAGCCGTTAGTGCAAACGCCGGTTGGTGCTAATAGTCAGAATCACAGTCGATCGTCTAGCCATTCTAGCCTACAGAGCGGTAAGAGTATGCCTCTGATAAGCAGTGTCACTTCCCAGCATCAAGTAAAGGAAGAATCCGGACCGATAAAGTCGTAGTGAACATTGTATCTTTACCATCGAGAGCACATTGTTCTCGAGTGATCAAATTTGGCACAAGAGCGATGCTTTTACATGAAACGTTTACTCTTTATATTTGCAAGGAGCATTAAATCGTAACTCGTAATCGCAAGAACTGTGCTGTAAGCGAACCGGGTGCTGTAAGCAAAATGCGTGTCGGTTTAATTTTTCTTCGCCATTCACTGATACTTTTCGTCGGCTGTCTCTCTTCTTGTGTTCCTCTATATCTCTAGAATGTGTCTCCTGAGCAATCCCTTTCGCATGAAAATTTCGTCGAGCTGAACAGTTATTCCAAAGCGCGATCGCGACTTAATGCCATGGAATGGGCTCATGTACTTACTAGACTGATACAGCAATGTCGCTTTTATGATAAGTTACGTATACGTTTACACAGTGAAATACCTCCTGCAGCACCATAGTCAGGACAAAGCTCCCTCTTAAATTGTTTCTCTTTATTTTTTAATATTAATTCTTCTGTGCAGTGATTTAAAAAAATGTAATATCATATGAAACTTATTTAACAATAAATAATTTTATTGCGACGTATTTGTGCGGCTATGTAGTAAATAAAATTATTTATTGCTAAGGGAGATTACGTGTATTATAATGAGCTATTATCATCACACAATCTCGGCAATGCAAACAGCTTCTCTTCACCGCTATCATTATTTAAGAATTATTCGTGTGCTAAATTAATCTTTCCTGCTCCAAATTAATCTTTTACTCGTTAAATTACATTCTCAAGCACAACATTGAGATGTCGATAACGGACTGCAATATATACAGGGTGATCCATCTTTCACGGAAAATCTCGCCAGATTTCTTGAGTAACTTGGAAGTAAAAATCTTAATGCGAAAATATTGAAGCTATAAAATAGTTCTTAAATAATGAACTATTCAAACTGATCAACGATAATGGCTAAAATTTTCGCGTTGTCTAATGTGCTGGTGCCGCTAGACGCTAGACGTCAGGAATACTTGGCCATTTACCAAATTTAGAATAACTAAATATTTTATACTTTACGTATTCGTTTTTAGATATGTATTCATCATGACTGTTAATTAATGAAGGAAGAAGCAATGATGTTTCAAAGCAGCTGTGACACTTTAATAACTTGACATTCGGTTCGGTTTCTGTCTGTAAGAGGAGTTAGCTGCTTGCGCGTTACGAACAATCACAGTGGGAAAAATCGATATCGATTCATATAATTAATTGTATAATAATTATACAGGTGATAAATATAAGTATACATTTTAATTAAAACGCAAGAAAATTGTTCATTTTCTTTAGTTTCTTTACAATTATTATGTTATAAAGTTACTTTCAAACATTGTTAATATTTAAGAAAGATTGTACTAAGCATACTCTTATTTTACATAGACCAAAACACTGTGGATGTAGACACATTGTTAGTGTAAAAATAATTTAACGTTAAAAAGTAAGAATAACAAAAAATATAAATAAAAAAAAATTGCTATTCAAATCATTATTCTAAATAAGAGTTATTGATCCATAATTAAGACAAAACTTGAATTCTGTAACAGTATTGTGGATCGTGTGATTGGAGATGTTCTTATGCTTAATGGAGAGACACGTGGACGTGCGTTTGCTAGTCAAAATTCTTTTAATTATTCATTATATATTATAATATATTGTTATTCCTCTTATTTTAAAGTTTAACTTGTAAAATAAATTAACTTGAAGTTTAATAATACGTTGTACACTCCTTCACATACCTGTAGCATATTATTTCACTTAATAAAATTATTAGGATAAAAAATGTGTTCCTTAAAAAATTTGATATACTTAGTATGTAATTTTTTTTCTATTGATTGTTTATCCTATAACTCGTTATAGTGATGCAAAATAATTTACTGATCCATACTAATCGAGAGACTTTAATTACTTTTATAATTAATTTAAGGAATCTAACAATTCTTTATAGCTATAATATTCGTTGCTTATATTAGTTATATTAACGTCGATATTTTCGTATTAGGATTTTTATTTCAAAATTTTCTAAGGCATCTGGCCACAAGAGGTTTTCCGCAGGAGAAGCGGCCCTGTATATAAGTATAATGATACTTTATATATTAAAAATATTATGGATGTCAGAGAGAGGTGTTTCAAAGAACTTAAATGTGAGTAAAAATAAATCAAGCAAAAAGTGGTGCGATTGTATTTGAAAGATACAAGCAATAACTCGCCAAAGAAATTTATATTCACATTTAAATGAGGAAAAGAATAATCCATATTATTGCCCTTGTACTATATAATCCATAATAGAATTACGATGAAATATTACAATGATTAACATTAATAAACAAGTTATATTCGCATTAAGATATTCGTAAATTGTTGAAAAATATTAAAAATAAGGAAAAATCAAGCAATATGTATATTTATGTACCAAATTGTTGTAATAAAGTGTATTGCTAATAAATAAATAATATAAAATAAAGATCAACTACTTTTTTCTTTCCTCTTGCAAATATATTTATGCGTTTTCTATTAGTTGTCGGTGATTGTCTTAGCGTGATAATTGTGGATCATAGGGTATTTTTATTTCTCTTTTTGTAATATTCATGTTCCGTTACAATAGGAGGAATTAAATCTGACATATGGCAATTATTTATACACAATCGTAATTTACAAAAAATGATATCGATTAACAAGTTCTGTTTGTTTTCGGTTGTTATGCGCTCTTGAGATAAGCCTCTTTATAATAGTATATTGAAATATTCACGTAACCGCACATACAAAGAAAGTCACAATAGAATATTATAACTTACGTAAGTTTATGAATTAGCCTCTACATATTTCGCGTAAATAATTTCTTTGCGCGTTAAGGGAAAAATAAGAGAAAAGAAATAATGGTATGTATGTGTGTGCGCGTACACACGCACACACACATCATCTACGATTCTACTAATAGATAGAACGAGAAGTACATTAGAGATGCAGTTTAAAATGCGAAAATACCAAATACCGAAAAGAAACGGCTACTGCGAAAAGAACGTGCGCGACAGAAATAAATGTTCCGTTGCAATTCTCTTGCCATATAAAGTTGCACCATTTTTTAGATATTCTATGTAGTAGACTCTGACACGCTGTAGAACGGTACAATTTCGTATGGAAGGGAACACCTTGTGCACCATACCGAATAATGTGTAAAAGATTTAACATTTATGTAATATATGAATATATACGGAAAAAACTTTAGAGCCCTGGACCTTCCAATACATCCAGCATCAGTCTTAAAGGGTGCACAAAAGCTTAGGTCTCTCGCGTTTTTTTGCTCAATATAACCACATCCGTCGATGTATATAGCATTCAACCAGATCCTCTAGAATCTTTTTTGATTTTCACCGTTTATTAAGTATTTTCTTAATCTGTGATTAGAAGTTGCCATAGGCCAAGAAGAGATGCACTAACTTAAATAAATTCTTTTACGTTGTATCGCGCGCGTTACATCATTTCTATTATTTTCGAAAATAAACAGTTTCCATTTAAAAGATTTTCTCACACTTTCATTCACACTCATTCACTCTCTCTCTCTTTACTTTTTCCTCATAAACACATATATATTTGTAATAGATACGCACTCTCACATCTTAGCATCCTTCCCTTTTACGCAGATATTTTCGTTCTCATGCACCATATTATGCCTCTTGTCATATGTAAAAATGATGCGAAACTTAAATGCAATTATACTTATTTGAAAATTGCGTCCTAACGTGTGTCTCAGACTTTCGCCTCAACTGGAAAAATTGACAAACAATTTTGAAACAAAAGTCTCATTAATTAGTCGTCTAGATTATACATTTGCATATTAAAAGTTTAACACAGTATTTCCCATGTTTTATATTATTTTCACATATATGTTAAATGTGCTCTTCGATCGCGATGTAAAGTGTCTTTCTCCGTCGCCGGTTTCGTTCGGTTTTATGAGCTCGGAGATCATTGATTTCCTGTAGAGGAATATTCGATTAATGTGAATTTCCGTCACAAACTGGCAAACGATCGCTTGACTTTTATCTTACGACTTGCAGCTTTCGATCTGGACAATACTATATTGATCCCATTTGCGCGCTTTATTGTGAAATCTCAAACAATAGAGGCAGAATGATCGCGTTTTTAATCAGGTATTTGTACATTCTCACTTTCCGTGAGTCGCAAAAAAAATTATATCATAAAGGGATAAAAAAGAACAATTTCAATTTCTCGTCAAGTGGATTGACAAATGGACCTTTACTTATAATACGAATCAATATCGTACAATAGGAAAATAAAGTATAAAGCGTTTACCCTCCACATAGACAAAAGGGACAAAAGTAAGTACAAGTACGTATTCATAGCTACGAATACAGCGCGTATCTTGTGTTCTTCTTTAAAACACTGCAGTTGGATCATCTCTGTGTGTATACTTTCTCAATAAGTAATTCTTCTCTTAAAATCTAGAACATATATTTGGATGATGATGACGCACTAATATAGCTTTCGTAGGTATTAATAGTGACGCGCGTTACAAATATTTGAGACGAAAGAGCAGTTCTCTCTACTTCGGTTTTAAAAATTGAGCCGTGTTAAAAATTTGGCAAGAGATCTTCCCTTCATTTGCTATCGAATGTACATAACTTTATATACTGACTAGGGTACTTCACCTCTCTCCAAAGTGAACAAAACGATATTTATTTCGTTTTACGCGCACGCGCGGCTGCCAAGCCGCGCGCACATATTTATCTCTATTTATCGTCAGAACTTAAATTAGCAATTAACTAAACTATATACCCTACTAGTCTATGAGCTATCGCTCTGTAATAAATATTACAATTATTTACATTGGATCTCATGTATTCCTTTTTCTATTCACGCTTCTCCGTAATATTTGAGATATTGCGATTATATAATCATTTTACAAGACACAAATCCTAAGAAACTTCTGGAAAGTAATTGCGATAAATGCAAATATTCTTGGAATGGCACGACTTGTCGTTCCACATTTCGGAATTCCATGTTCGAAGTCATCATTGTTAAACTATCAACCGAAATAACAAAGTGCTCTTTGACAGGTTCGTATAACATCTAGATTCGATTTATCACACTTCACGTTTACTCAATAATCTTAAGAGTTATCGTTTATATACAGATTTACTGAATTATATGCGGATGCGAGTATAAAGAGTCATTTGCAACTTTGCTGCAAGTCTATCTCAACTCTTACAAATCTTTAGGTAATATCAATTAGAGACGTACCGGATACTGGAAATCGGACATCCGTGGAATCAAAGACAACTCGCCAAGACGGACGCTGAGTACAAGTAAACAACATTCGTCTGACCGGCTATTACTCAGGCACAGAGTCACTCCTCTCGATACCGGAACTCAATTGTGCTTATATCCTAAGCTCGTAACAATTCTCTCATTATTAAATAATGTCCACGATTAAAATGTATATGATAGTGTTCTAACAACATTTCACGAGCGGAATTGTTGACTGTGAGGACTATGTTAAAGATTTTAGAAAATTCGCTTTTTATATCCGCAGGCCAACACGCTTCTTGTCATTGTCTGCTGGCGCCCATGCGGACCTCTTATCGGTTTCCAGCGACCGATATCAAGACACAAAAACTGATTTTACGAATAATTGCCGGGTACCCAGTATATCTCTAGTGCTATACATAGAATGTCTCAGGAAGACTGCACTCCGCAGAAAATTCATTCTCGGCCCTTACAAAGTATAATAAGATTCAACTTTTGCGATAGATTCATTGTTTTCTTCCGTTTACTCTAAAAAGAGTACGTCGTAACTATTACCGCCTGTGGAAGTATGTTTCCAATATTCTCTTAATCATCGATACCTTAGACGCCTGTTCTTCATATAAAAACTGAAAAACCTATGTAACACCTGTACTACCATCATGTTTTGTACTTAAAAAGTATATTTGCCTGAGCACATTGGCAGTATCGCGAGCGTACCTCATAATCAATCGAGTTCTGCCAATTTGCCGATATATCTCGTAAAAATTACCAGTCATTCGTGCGGCAACTAGATGTATACGTTCACATACACATATAAAGTGTACAAAATATCTCACAGAAAAGTCAACGTATATAGATTCGCCTTGCGGATGCCTTGCGTTCGAGAGAAGAGATTAAAATGTAAAAAGTATATATAAAAACCGTAACTTGGTATTTCCATCAATTTGCGATATATATCTAGCTCCTAGAGTTAAGTATTAGATATGAAATTAACGGCTGATTTTAAAATGAATAAGCAAACGCTATCTCTTTGTCTGTAAAGAATCGATGTCAACATGAAGAAGCTTTCGTGTGAAAGGTTTTGTGCTTATTCGTTCGTGCAGCTTTCCCCAATCAACAAGCAATAAATATATGACGCTGCATTAAATATATATTCCGTCGGGATGTACTTTGCGTGCGCGTCTAAACTCAAGGGACGCGGGTAACAAAGAGAAAGAGGATAACGCAGAAGGACCCACCACACAGTCACTGTACATGATATACAAGTACAAAATCTCGGATAAAAAGTGTCTTATGCAAGTTTCTAGTACATAGTACTCTCAACTTTTTTCGCCCCCAATTTCTCTCACTTTAATCGCTGATCCCCGAAATCAGTTTGCCATTTCTCTATAGGAACTCCGAATCGCACGATTCTATCGAAGACGAGCTCTATTGAAAGACGACTCTTGGTAACATGGCGGCGTTCTTACTCTGTATATTCTGTATGCTCTGCATACTCTGAATACTCATCACGTACCTCGCGCTACGGTTATGACGGTCGAGACGATTCGTTTTGCGATGACACAGTCATCTCTCTGTTGCCTCTTTCTTTTCCACGATTAGAGTTCCGTTACAGCATACAGATTAGGATCACTACCCTGTACCTGACTCAGCGTAGCCACTGTCGGCTTCTCCTGCTGTCTTCCTTGTGCTCGATTATACGTTCCGTACATATTCGGCACCGTTGTATTGTTTTGCGCGGTACCGTTGAACTGACTGCGCGAGAAATTTCTATCCAAAGTTCTGACTTGATCTTGCATCTGATCCTGAATACGAATGTTAGGCGCCTTGTTTCTCACTAACGATCGGAACTGATTCATGTTGGTCTGCGAGCGCGACTCAAACTCCCACGTCGGCTGACTCGTCGGGTTCGGCGGTAGCGGTCGATTTTGATTCCACGCCGGAGTGGGACCTCTCTTCAGATTCGTCAGATTTTTCGGATCCAATGTTTGCGTCTTTCGAGAGTCTTGAAAAGTAGCGAGATGAGCGGGTCCATGCGAATTGTGAGACAGGGTACCGGTAAAGGACGCCACGCTAGGCGTCCAAGGTGGTTCTCTACCTATAAAACGATATTCAACTTTGAGTACGCACATGTATACAAAAGCAAGTATTAAAATCACGTGTAATCACGCATACACAGGTATATATCATTAGTTATATCACAAAGCAATATTTTATTGATTTATTTTGGATTACTTTAATTCTATTCTCCGAATAGACGAGGAAGAGAAAAGATAAATGCATAAACGTTGTTGTTAATACCAATTCCACTACTAATTCCAAATTGCTTACCGGGCCCTGCGGGGGCGTGCCCTCAGTAGAAATCACTTGATTCTAAAGTCTTGCACTGTTTGCTCAAAGTCGCGTACTGGCCAGGTTGATCTCCGAGTCCAGAACGGTGCTCAGTCCGTCCGCCCGTTGATTGCTGATTATGCTGAGACGATTTGTGATCCCCGCCTCCTCCGCTCCCATTAACACCCCCACCTCTGTAAATGGCGATGAAAGACAAACCAAGTTGCAGCATTATCTTAGTTTTAGACAATGACCGGTATATTATTTTGCTTATCTAAACATAAATCCAAGTTCAATCACGTCTGCAAAATTGTCTAAACATTATGTTTACGTTAACGAAACGAATTTAAAACAAAAAAGCGCGCTATACTATGTGATAATATCGTGATAATATCGTAAAAGCGATTGAGAAATTCTCGCAGAGAACAATATTCAATTTGTTTCAATGCTGCAAAATATTGAAATATTCAAATAATCAGAACATCAAATATAAAATTAATATCGACAAAATTATGTTTCATTATGTATGATCGTTAAAAAGCGTTTGCTATGTAAGTATCAATAACTGCGCCACGATCTGTGTTATTCGTTATGCCTTGGAAATTAATATATAATTAAAGCGACATTCAGAGGAGACAAACCTAATCAACGATATTTAACGCGATTTTTTTTTAATTCGATATAGCTAATAAAATGAAATAAAACTGAAAATCTCATGCACAAACTTTAGCATGCTCTCGTGCAGTTGACGTGCTCGAGCAGTCGCAGTAGCGTAGGACGGTGGGGGCGGCGTTAGCAAGAGAGGCTGCTTAATCGTATTATGAGTGCCAAGAGCATTCGAATTAAGCGGAGGGGCTGTAGGCGGGTACGACCCTTGGCCTCGAAGGGTCCGCGCTGCTATTGCCTGCGAAGCCGCTGATGGTGGCAAGTAAGGATCTTGCTCGTCGACTTGATGGTAATCCCTTCTGGAACAAACGTAACACCGGTCATGCTTTGCTTAAACCTTCATAAGCATTTTATTCTAAACATACAATCCTCGGATAGGTTAATTAAAAAAGAGAAAAACAATTATTATGCATTATTTTCATAAATTTTCATTAAAATAAAAATTCAATATTAGTTTGAATAAACTTTCTCTTTAATCTTAAGAACAAAATAAATATCCAACTAGAAATAACATCCAACTAGAAATAATATCCAACTAGAAGTAACTTTATATTCCATCTGTATCTATATAGATATTTTATTTCGGTAAAAATGTTCTTAAAATTAAACTTTTCTCTAATAGTCGGAAAAGTTGGTAATTTTTTATTTTATTTCATCTAAATATGCTCACAGTAAAAAAAAATTCTAACAATTAGTAAAATTTTATATGAAAAAATCTGATGTTTGTGAATGTGTATATATCAATCTGTAAAGTTCAATAAAATTTACAATAACTATTATAATCAAAATGAGAATTATAATCATAATAATGATACTTGGCATGTTTGAACATAACATTTTGAACAACGACTGAAACAACTCGCATACCGTTTACGGATATATATCCATGTATGAGAATCCACCCAAACCAGTATAGTGAAAAAGAGACCCGCAGCTAAACTGGCTAGTAGCATAAAGGTTAATCCATACCTGAAATGCATCACAAAGAACATCAGAGATATCCAACTTCAAATTAAACATTATTTAAAAAATGAAGTAATTGCTCGATTTCTCTTTTAATTGTAATAAATATACATAAGAAGAATACATCAAACTTACAATCCCAAGTGACATAAGCTCTTAGCGGCATGAACGTATTGCTTGTGGAGAGGCTTACAATCGAGTAACGTCGCTAAGCCTGACACGAGTTTGTCTACGGTGTTAACATCCGTGGACAAGCTGCTGAGTTTCGGCTGAAGTTGCTGATCTTTGAACAGTTCTATCGCTAATCGAGTCACAGTATTCAAATTGTGCCTCATGTTGCCTACCGCGCGCTGCCCGTCCCGCAATCTCTGCGTAAACGGATTGCTACGCGTGTTCTCACAGTGTGTGTAATACGAGAGCACTTCGGAGGCTAAAGTTGACGGTACTGCTCTGCTTAAGTAACCGTCGGGCGACACGCATAGATCACCTAGAGCTACAGAAGTGGCTAGGTATAAGGATGCCATGAGCCAAGAGACGATCACGGCGAACAAGCCGAACACGGAAAATCTGAAAGAAAAGCTTCATCAGAACGAGATTCATGTTAACTTCGCTGTCATGACTGACACGAAGAACTATCTATCCTTAATTTTTTCTTTTACACTGCACGTACGTTATGAGAACGCATCTGGAGTGTCGTGCAACACCGACCACCAGAACCACACAGAGAACAAGTAAAGCGCTCAATACCGCCATGGTGATAGGCCATCTCAACTGTTCGATTTTTTCACCCATCCCGATGGCACCGGCGAGACTGATGCCGCTCAAAGGCTTTCGGATTTCGAAACTCCGATTTACGGCGATGCTTGTGTTTTGCTTCATGCCGTTCAACGCTACTAACAGCAGACCTAACATTGTTTTATTGCTGACTGGGGCGTCGAATTCATCCCCGAGGGCAGTTAGCTGCGGTTGCATCTTTTTCTTTAAAGTTGCTTCTATAGTGTCAGTCTGCAAAAAGCATATGGGGCATCGATAGATATAAACGGGAACAATTATGCATACTTTACAACTGATTGCATTACATTATATAGTAAATAGTATTGCTACAACAGCACTGGAGGGATCAACGTACAGTGCAATTTTATCTACTTAAAGAAATGTATTAAATAGCGGAAAAACTCCTCTTTTGTTTGTACTATCAGAAAATGAAAAAAATTAATATTTTTTAAATATAAACCTACATCATTAGACACTTTTATATGATCTTCTTCGATAAGATCATGAAAAGCATATATATTATGTCGTTATATCTAATGTACGGACAAGCAATCGCTTTAGCAAGTTAAAGCACCTGATTCCTCACACCCATGAGAATTCCGTCGACGTTCTTAGCCGCTGCTACGAGCTGCACTAAGCCGTTGTGTACGTCATCGTTGCCGTAAAGACCAACAGCGACTGCTCCACTACAGAGCAATGCCAGGACGGCCAGTGAACACTTCAGCAGGGTTATCGACCTTCTGGGGCGCGGCTTCCGGTCGCAGCATCTTGTTACCAAATAAACTAGCAATACCAGCAATGTTAAGATCAACCAAGCTGCAGGAATACTTCCTAGTATCCCGAGACTCTGCAAAGATTACATTCAAATACGGTCTTTTCCTTTCCTACATAACTATACAAACATGGTGTTATTGGAAGATTCAAAACTTTGCAGGCTTGCAGTATCCATTAGACTTAAAAAAAAAAAAAAATAGTCAATTATTAATCTTTTCACAATAAACACTTTCTACACAATGAAAATAGATGATTAATTCCATGTAAGCACAAATTACATGAAATTATATCACCATTTTATTGCTTTAACCTATTATAGAAGGTGTTCTCTATGTCACGCGCGCGCGTGTCCTTTCATTTCGATACATTCTTGACATCTCCGTATAATCGCACTTCATTCTCTTTCAAGTTTCCGCATATCAAGCGACATGCCGGGCCAAAGCATTTCCATCAGCACGGTCATACATAAAATACATGTCTATCATCTCCGCGCGTTAGCTATTCACCATTGTTGAGTACATTTTGAATACCATACCTGACGAACTGATACTCTCGGCTATTGTGCGTTTATTGAGACCGCGATCAACGAGTCTATTGTGCAAATAAAGTAAATATTTACACATGGAAGCAGTACGATAAGATAACTATCTGTTTTCATATCATAAACAGACGCGAACAGGTATGTTACGTTATTAAAATAAGAAGTCGTTGTCAACTTGAAAAAAATTGTAGACCTGTTTTAACTAAGCAATTTTTCTATGCAATTTAGTGAGTATTACACAAGCCTGATAAATTTTGAACTATTTTTCAACAACATATTATATAGGATATATACACAGAGTGTCCTATCACTGCTGTGAAACTCGTTGTAATAGTAAATGTTTGAAAACATTTTGGGACAAAAATCCTAATATGAAAATGTCGAGGCTATAACAGTTCTCAAGTAAAAGATAACCAATCGTAGTCTCCTCGAACCTTTTATCTCGTTTCTCGACTCTCAGTCTGGACTCCGACACTTTGACGTATGCATGACGAAAGCGTGCATATCGCGGGACAAAGTTTCCCTCGCACAAACCTTGTTGGTGGTATCTCCACCGACTTCGATGACCGAAGAAGACGGGTGAAAAAGAGGGGACAAGAACGAAGGGGAAGACACGAAGGATAGTGCAGGAGTCACGGATACGAGAAGGGCGAAATACCCGTGGTCCGATGTTTCCGAGCATGTTGAAGCCCGCAAGTGGCTCCGGGCGCATTATGCGAAAGCCTTTGTGCATTGTTTGAGCTTTCCCAGGCATTGTGCTTTCCAGTTACACAGCTCGGATTTTTGCACGCTCGCGGCATCCACCTGTCCGTCGTTTCTGCCTTTTTTTTTACTAACTTCTTATTCCGCTCTTTCTTTCTTTCTTTCTTTTTTATGTCATGTTGTAGCACGTCTCGCGTATTTGTTGCTCTCCGTAAACGTGCGTGAAGCGTTTCTTCTTTTTTCTTCTCTCTTACGTTGATCGTTACAACGCTCGTTGATCGTTTCCAGATGTTTTTATCCGATTTTTATCAATTCAATCCAAATATAGTGTCCGACCATTAGTCACACACCCATTATATGCAGATAGAACTCACCAAACTAAACATAAAATTCCTCTACCATTTCGCAAACAACCGCATAAAATTTAGGTTTATTAATTGTTAGACGCTCTATATATAGATGCAAATCAACACTTATGAGAAGCATACAACCTAGTTATAAACGATAATCTAAAACGATCTTGGTGATCGTAGTTATTAAGAGGATATTCCAAGAGATAATAGTTGAGGATTGCCAGTATACAAGATCAAAGTATTAGCAGGGAATTGGTTCGAGTGGAATACTCTTAATTCCCGTTTATTTAAATTTAGTAGCAAATATAAACTTTAGATTATGAAACGTCATAAAATTTGAAAATTTACCTCAAACAAAGTACTATATTTTGTTTTTCAAACATTAGTATCAATCGTATTGATTCTAATGTTTACTAATGTTTACTAATGTTTATGATCGTATCATACGTATTTGAAGAAGCAACATATTATTTTCATTCTGTCTCCATCTATTCCCAATCGGAAATAAACGTTAATAATCTTTCGAAAACATTTTATAAATCATATTATGCATCAACCCGAATCTTCAAACTTTTAGAAGGAGATTCATATATATCTTTCCATTTATTTATAGGAAACTTACAAGTTGCAGGTATTTCAGAGTACTACGTGACATATACTATGTTAACTATATTAACTTATATTTTATAAATAATTTTAGCAAGAAAAAGAATGAAATTTACAACCAAGAAAAGATAATTAACTTTTAAAATGTTTACAAATTCTTCTATAACTGGAGGTTAGACACTAACTTTATTTCTTCTAAAGTATAAAAATATATCACGCAACCGACCTCGAAAATTGCGTGACAAAAATTCAAACACTTTCGCCAAGCAAGCTATTTATCAAACAAAGCTTAAAAGACTCAGGTCGCGCGGCCGTTTCGTTTGTTTCAAATCAACGAAATCGATTTGCGCACTGTACCACACGGAAGACAAAACGCGAATTCGACAGAGAGAAGAGAAGAGGATTCTCCCTATTTCAATAATTGACAAGAAAGTCGAATTGATGAATCTATCCGAGAGGACATATACATACACATATACATACAGAGACATCCACGATTTACCTCCAAATAGATTTCAGAGTGAGGATTGAATGTATTGTTGACCGAATGCAGAGAGACGTTCAGATGCGGCAGGCTGTGGAAGATCCTCGCGAGCTGTGGTACTGTGTATTGTTCCGGAAGCTGCTGACCGCCCGCCATTTTGGAGAATCCTTATCTGCCGAAGACCCTGTCGAAGCGTCTCTCCTGCTCGTCAAGACATGCTACGAGTGCTGTAATAAAAGAAAAGGAAAATAAATTCATATTTCGTTTAAAAATTTCTGAAACGCAAGACAAATATTATCCTTAACATTAATGTGATAAAATATAATTAAATTTACTTTTCTAATTTTTTAACTGCCTTTCCTTGGATTCTCTCTTAAAAAAAAAAAAAAAAAAAAAAAATTAATTTAGCTGCACATCTTATCTTGTTATCTCATGTATATCAATGTAAGTTTTGAGAGAGAGAAAGAAAGAGAGAAAGAATGAGGAAGAGAGTATTTTTATATTTAAAACAATTATATATAAAACAAATAGATTAAGTAACTTGATTATTACTTTCTTGGATTGTTGAGAACATATAATATATTCACATATCCCGTATAAGTAAACTAGAAAATCAAATTAGGATGACGAATAGAATCAAATCGCGATTAATTTTTCTTATAATCCAATATCTTTAATATTTAAGTCTTTTATCGTTGTAAAGACGAAAACTCATTTCAAGAGCTTTCTTTTTTATTTGATTACTGTTCCGCTACTGTGCATCCTCGTTGCACTTTTCCGTTGCTAGTCATGATTCAATCTTGGCTAAATACGTCGACGTCACTCAATATCGCGAAACGCTTACCATACTGAGTCAACTCTTTGGTTAGTGGAAACAACGCGGGTTTAATTAATGAAGTCTGTGCCAGCTGTTCTCTCCATCCCACGCTTCATTGACATTACAAATGCGCGTCGGAAGGATTCTTAGTTAACAAATCGATTGAAGTAAATTCAATAGGCTCAACAACGCTATTATCTTATCACCAAAATCTTCGCAAATTTTAAGTGACTATAAAAAAAGAAGAGCCTTTTCTATTTTTATAATCATATTAAGCTAGGAGAAAACAAACTCAATTCGTCAGGTTTATACGGAAATTACATTGGAAATATTAATTTTAATTCAAAGAAGTACAAGATATATATGTAGAAAGAAGCAGAATATGTAGAAAATTGTTCGAACATTTATTACAATAGAAATAAGTCTATGTTTATCATCGCTGTCATAAGTTATTTGTCGTGTTAAAAATAAATTTTTGAAATAAAAGTTAACTTAAAACTACTTAAAATCTACAATTTTATATTCAACTTTGTCTCTGCTACGTACAAAATCCATGTTTAATAAAAAATTTAAGATGACCTACAAGACTAACATCATTTTCTGAAAATTGTGTATCACAAGTGATGCACACTTTTCTATTATTAGCCATCATCCAGAATTTTTTAACTATCTTTTTAGTTATTGAGATATTGAGGTGTAACAAATTACGTGACTTTACATACACACTGAGAGAAATAGCTTGGTGAATGAAACTATACTCGTTTTATGAAAGTAATGTGTTGAATTTATATGCGATATTTGGCTTACATATCCAATATTTTGATTACGATGCCTCAACGCATCTGATAGTCGATACCGATATTTAGTTGTAGGCATCTAGACAGTTTGGTAATTCTCTCTAGACGTGATACTATTGACGCGTCTGTTGCTGCGACGTTTCCTTTTTCATCTATACTAATTTGTAAAGACGTGAATGCTATAAAAGAATGGACGCTGAAACCATCAGATATTTAGAAGAATGGAATTTTTTAAAATATGTCGATAAATTTAGAAATAAGTATATGAAGATTATATACAGTAAGTATATGAAAATGATATATATATAACTGTATTCATAACATTCACCAAATGAATTATGTGCTGTACCAGATGATTTGGTAAACGTATTTGAGCATCACTGTAATGCTACTTAGACAATGCGCTCACCAGATAGTTTGGTATCATTGACTAAATATCTTGTTACACGATTATTCACCATACTGTTTGGTAAACCTAAATAGAATTCTGGTTAGTATCATCAGACATTTCCCTCGATGTAAAAACTTTTAAATGTAAGAAAATAAGAATGCAACTGAATCCTATAAATATAATAAAATTGTGATTAATTCAATACATATGTGAAATATATATATATATATATATATATATATATATATATATATATATAAATTATTCAAATACATTAAATTGTTCTGTTTTAAATATTAAAACATCAAACATATATTGGTGTCGAAGTCGGTTAACTTTATACATTTTATATTTATAATTTATAAGCAATATTCTATATTAAGCTCACGTAAGTATACTACGGTTAACAAATACTTGTCTCTCTAATAAAAATAGCAAGAATCGATAAAGTGCAATGAACACGTACGGTTTATTAACCTACTTTCCTGCTTCTGTTCTATCCTTGAAACATACATTGTCGCAACAAAGCAGGCTTTGGATACATTTAACATACTCATACCAGAATATTCATAGTAATAGGCACGTTTCAATTTCAACAGCTTTAAATTGTAATAACTTCCTTATTCCGTGATGTATACGGTTTGAAAGTTTTTAATTACCTCAAGGATACGATATAGATTCACACTTTCCGAATTTATATGCACTGAGAGAAATGGCTTGGTGAACTATACTCGTCTTATGAAAGTAATATGGTGAATTTATATGCGATATCTGGTTCACATATCCAATATTCTGATTACGATGCCTCGACGCATCTGGTAGTCAATACCGAAACATTTAGTTGTAGACATTTAGACAGTTTGGTAATTCTCTCTAAACGTGTGATATTATTGACGCAATAGTTAATTGTTACTCGCTGCGACGTTTCCTTTTTCATCTATATTAATTTGTAAAGACGTTGGTGCTATAAAAGAGTAAACGCTGAAATCGTTAAATATTTGGAAGAATGAAATTTCTTAAAATATGTCGACAAATTTAGAAGTAAATATATGAAGATTATATACAGTAAGTATATGAAAATTATATATAATATGGTTAGATTTTAGGTTAGGTAAGAAGTCTAACACTACTCCACAACTGTATTCATAACATTCACCAAATGAATTGTATACTGTACCAGACGATTTGGTAAACGTATTTAAGCATTACTGTAATACTATTTAGACAATGCGTTCACCAGATGGTTTGATGTCATTATCTAAATATCTTGTTACACGATTATTCACCATACCATTTGGTAAACCTAACTAGAATTCTGGTTAGTATCTGGTTAGTATCATCAGACATTTCCCTCAGTATGATTAGTCCAAAGTAACTATATTAAATAATTCCAGAGATGAACATGTGTATATATATATATATATCTCGAAAAATATGGGTCTGCATATAAAATCAACAGACGCTCGATATATCGTTAATAATTATTAACTAACATAGCAATATAACATGACAATGTAATTAATGGAACTATATATCTATTATTTACAGCAAATAAAGGCAGTCGCTCGCCGGACAAATTACACGGATAAATTACAATCTGTGTTACTTCTCGCTACTAAACGTCATTCGCTCGTCCAGTTAGTGAATTTATTGCAAATATTCAATCTCAGAAGGAATGCTTTTACAGATATGAAATAAATGAATCATGTAATTAACTGATATAAAGAAGAAGGTACGTTACTCAAACATTACAGAAAAACTTTTTTACCAAGTTTTGTATAATACTTAAGTATTATGTACATAATACTTTAGTATTTATTGAGTACCACAGTCATCAATAAATATCGTAGCTCTAGATATAAGGAGTAATAACTGTAAGATTGTAAGAATATATTTGCAGCTCTTCTTCTTCTCTTCTATCTCACCACATCGCGCCCGCTAATTATTTCTGTTTGATAAAAAACACTAATCTTATTGTACCACATGCTAAAATTTTTATCATCTACGAACGCTATTCACAGCAGAAGATGAAGGCTATAATATTGAGTGCGCATTTGTACTGACTCACCGTGTGCGTACCTCATCGTATAAACGGGAAGTAAAGTCATCACCAATCACATTGCAATTTTAAATGAACGTCATTAGTATTATGACCGTGCACCCATGCTGTCATGCTAACAAGAAGACCTATAATAGTGTTCCCCTCGAACTCTGATCCGCTCGAAATATATTATGCAGTCTGAATTAAAATAAGACAGACGTATCTTTTAATAAGTCGCGCGCCGAGTTTACTAAAATAGATCATAACACGATGGAAAAATGGACGCTATTTTTGTATCAAAATAACTAGTTTAAAATAAGTCAGACACGACCTCTCGGTTACAAACTGACTTTCGTGATGCATCTATCGAACAGTCTCGCGTCTTGAGGTAAGCGTCTCAGTCGAGTCTCTTAACAGAGAAACATGTCTGTATAAACATGAGCCTTCAAATAAACAACAATCTCTGGACAGTTGAGAGAACATCATTCTATTAGAGAATGTTCCACAAAATCTAATCATAAAGACAAACTTTTTGGGATATAAATTTATGACTAAACTTTTTTAAGAGTAAATTAATTAAATATTAGTATCCACGAAAAGTATTTAATAAACAAATCTTATAAAGCAAAATGTACACACTAGTGCCTGGATATCTGTTTTACATAATAAAGAGTTTCATGATTTAAGTAGCACTTGTACAACATTAAAGTGATCATCAATTATTGTCGACTCAAGCGTATATCTTGCAAATCGTTCACGTCCTCATAAATAAAAAGTCATCGACCTATTCCGATCATGGCTCGGTCACGACATGCAACTATTACGATCGATCGACTATAACGTAACTATACTCATCTGCAGAACTGTTCGCTGGCTCTGAAAGAGCGTTTGGCAACACAGTCACGTGAGAAAATATCGAATTAGTTTCTGTAAATTTACGTCTTGTTGTTGAAAAGATTAACTTGTTATGCAAAACAATCTCGTGTGTGCAAATTTGTAAATTTCGTTCTGTCGCGAATATAAGCGTCCTGCAGACTGCTCAGAATGAATGCATTCAGAAATGACACGAAATGATTCCCAATGATGAAACGGAACTTTCATACCTTATATAGTATAATCTTTCGCAATAAAGCCCATATACAATTGATATCGAGACGCTGCAATGTTTCTCAATGTTTCAAAATTAATGCAAAGTATCCTGCTAATTTCTGATTCGCCAAAACTTATTTGAGAACGTTCTGCTCGAAAATTACCGGATACAATTTCAGACACTAGTAATTTTGAAGCAAATCTTGTTGTTTACTACTGATTGTTTAAGATCGACTAAACAATCCATTAGAAATAAAAAAAGACGACGCTCTCTAATAAGAATGATATTAAATAAGTTTTTAATATTAAAAAGTTTCTCGCTGTACTTAATTAGCAAATACTAGTGTAATAGAAAATTATACAAATATACGTTAACGATATCAATCACCTCTTTCCGATAAACTTGATCTTTTATCAAAGTTAAGGATTTAATAATACAACATTTTATATATATGAAAACCTAGTTTCTTTCAGTTCTCCTTACGGGTAGAAGTCGCATTTTACGCCGAAGCGATCGATTTTCGGGCCTATGTTGATTGGACATGGTTTACAGTTCTTGTGACGAGCACTATATCTTTCTCAAGTTCTGTACCTGTTTTTAGTATCTCTCTGTGTATGTGTGCGCGCATGTGTGTGCACACACATCATACCTATCTATACCCAAAACTTAAGGAAGAAAAGAAGACATGTATTACGAGTGTACATACAAATATAGATAAGAGAATGTGTGTGTATATATATAACAAAAAAATAAGAGTGTGTGTGTATATATATAACAAAAAAATAATTGTAGAAAAATAGAAAAAATTGAAAAAACATGATACGTATATTCTTTCTCACTTCATATACACTGTTTTTTTTTCTATACTCTTATTTCTCTCTCTCTCTCTCTCTCTCTCTCCTCTCCTTTTTAATCTCCTTAATATCTTTTATATATTTTTATAAACAACATATTTTAATAAATTTTATTCGTTAATTTGCCGTATGTATCGTACTTTCTTCGAAATCTTCTTAGTCTTGATAATCAAGAAAAAAATTTCTATAAGATTCCAATCTACACAAAAAATTAAACGAGAAATTCTTCCTTTCTCTCTTCTTTTAAAAGTTGCAGAATATTTTCAACATGATTTATACAAACACTAAGTATATGGTATTCGTCAAAGAAATTAATTAATGACCAAATCTTGAAATTTGATTGAAACACACTGCCATATCATAACAAATCCGTTACACATGTGCAGTACTTCATGAAATCTATCTATCTCTATCTAAATTTAATGAGCCCCAAAATAAGATATTTCTTTTGAAGACGATTCTTTTGAAGCAATCGGCACACAGAGTGAAGAAAATCCGATAATCTAATTTAGCTCTTTCCGAATAAATCTCCTCTAAAAGAATCCTTTACAAAGTTCAAATCTCTGGAACGTGAGAGAAGATGGTTTGCATTGGGTATAAAATCAAATATTAGTTTCTGTACGATTAATCTACCTCGACCCGACATCTATTCTAATATTCCAACAGTCGACAGATTTATAACGGTTCCTGAATCATTCACAGAGCTCGTACCACACATCTCCCACAACTCCGATGGGATTACGCGTCGTAGCTCACAGTTGGCTTGCCAAATGTCAGACCAGACATATGAAGTGTCAGAATAGACGTGATCTCTGAAATGTCGGGATTTTTCGCTAGCACGCGATGCATCCCGAATCCGATGTTTTCGACCACGGGGGTTAGGCCGACGCGGCGCACGCTTATCGCACGTAAAAAGTCATCGACCTATCGTACAATCGTGGCGAACCGCTGCCGCGCTATAAATGCACGCTCTACCTTCGATCATATTGGCGCTTCGCGCTTGTCGCGTTGCGTCGCGTCGCGCGAGGCCATCGCCTTGCGTTGCATGCGCGAAGAAAATGGATCCGTTCGATACTCCCCGTCGTGAAGGTGTAACCCGCTGTTCCGTATCCGCGTTCGTACTCTCGCGCGCGCGAGAAAGTCCTACGAGGGAAAGAGAGAGAGAGAGAGAGAGAGAAATAGAGAGAGAAAGACAATTGCGAACTTGCTTTATCCGGCAACCCCCAACAACTTTACGAGCGTCAGGCTTTTACGATCTTCTTGGCTCGCTCACCCACTCGCTCGCACCCAACATCTGCTGCTGGGATTTCTTTGGTTTCGGCACCGCGATGAAATCCAGCCCCTTTACATCCGACACTTCTCGTGTTCTCTCGTCTCCCCAACTGCCTCTATATATCTCTTTCTCTTTTACGCCTGTGCGTTTTCACACATGCACGCACGCATGTACGCATACATATAATCGCGACGCTTTCATGACAAGTTCATGTAATATATTCTCACACCCATACAACGTCGTCCCCGAGTGTGTACCGTGTATCGATCCCCGAGAGTACACACGAAGGCGACTGTGAGCGCCATCAGGTTCCTCTGTTTCCTTCCATTCTCCTATATGTCTCTCTCTTTTTCTCTCAATAGCGTTTCCCGTTTCTCATTTTCTTGTCTTCATTCTCGCTCGTGCTTCTCGAGGAATATGTGTTCTCTTCGTTGTCGCACTTCAGGGAGAACGTACCACGTTATTTCGATACATCGCGGCGGTATATATCGTTAGGGCGAGTCCGAGAACGTGTCGCCCGGTGATGGCTCGCGTGACAGAAGCGACAACCGTTCTTCCCCGTGGATAATGAGCGTCGCGCGATCGCGATCGTGAATTCGCGTGAGTTTCACGCCAACGATAAGCGTTACGATCGCGATTCTTACCTCGGTTTTTTCAGTGAAGAGTCCGTACGCTCGCGTACGAAAGCGCGATCCACAATACACAACACACAATCCACGAAGGCTCGAGCCGGACTGACGGGCGAAAGGAAAAGGTGGGGCGGCGTAGCGGCCAATCGCATGCCGCTTGCGCGGATTCCGCGAGAGTACGCTGCGCTTAGATGCGCGTGCGTGCGCAACTGGCGGTGAACTCTTTTCAACATGAATTTCCTGCTGTTGTGTTTATCGACAAATTTCCGCGAAAAAGATACAATTTATAAATAAATATGTCCAGTACAAATCTCGTATAAACAATATCATGGTGTTCGTATTATTTACGAGACTATTAACAGAAACTAAACCTTACACAAACGGAAAATACAAGCGTAGATTTATATTTAAAAAGCACAGTTTCAATAGTTAACCGTGAAAGATATTCATTCATTGACTGTTTGAATCTTTGATAGGATTTTTCCTTGATGTCATAATATGCTGCTTCAAACTTTCTTGTGTGGTATCGAGTTTAAAAGATCTAAGAACGTCACGAGATAAAATCTTCCGTTTAAGGTGATTCGTACATGTTCTATATATACCTATACGCGTTATGTTTTCTTGACTGTGTTGTTTTATTATAGATTTATTCACTCTAATTGAAATTTTCGTGCCTTCTTTCAATTTTCTTACTTTATTTCATTGCAAAATATACAGCTATGTTGCTCTAATTGTAAGATGTAATGTAGCTAAGAACAAGTAATTAGTATTTTATCATTACCGGTTGATCATAAATTATATAATGTACTATAAGCAGTCGTTAAAATTCTTATAACTAGTGAAACAGTTAAATTTTGGTTTAGACAAGAAAATTATCTTTTGTCTATATAGAAAAAATACTAATTTTGAGACACACAATGAAGCATCAAAAGTATCAGATATACCTATATTATCTTCGTTTATGTAATATTTTTAATGAAAAAGCTTTTAATAATGAGCAATTATGAACATTTCTATCTAATTTACTAACAAGTTTTCATCTTAATAATTGTGTCTTTTTTGTAATAATTGATTCAATTGAATTAATAATTCTTATTTTTTTGTAAGTTTTCTGTTTGTAAATTCTACTATTAATTAATTTTTGGTGCTATTTAATAAATCCTGCTACTTACCTACACTTTTTAACAATACTTCTATCAATATTGTGCTAACAATATTTAAACGAATAAAATAAGAATATATTTTGTTTAAAGTAATTATTTTTTCTGTATCCGACCTTTTGTTTGTGAAATGTTTTAAACTTCGTATATTCAAGTTACCCATTAGAGTCCTTAAAAAAATTAGAAATTTATTAAAAAATAATTCATTAAATTATAAGCACAAGATATTGACAAAACCAGATGAAAATTTTAAAACAAATTTTTAACTTCATGTATAAACGTTTTAATATGAATATTTTAGAAATAAAATTTACAGACTCATAATTTTGTGATTTAAAAATATTTGCATAAAGGTACTATTGTAGTTACATTATCTCGATAGAAATATCTAGAACAACATGTTTTATATTTTGTTTTATCGTATTTATTTTCAATTTGTCATTGAGTTATTCATGATTTTGCCTTACCGCGTCGGTAAGATACTAGAGTAATAGCGGTCTTGATTATTTAAGTCCCGTTTCATTTGGTCGATAAATAAAGAACTTTGGACAAGTAAACACTGATTCTAAAAAGATATTCGAAAAGACAAGTATGCATATACTTGAATCAAGAGGATTATTTTATCGTTATTTTTTCTTATTTTTCTTTGTAAACATTCTTTGTAACAAAATGCAACGCACGAGTGACATGAAATGCGTAGGTCGACAATGACGATGTTACACATGTAACGTGCACAAACAGAGAGGGAAGAAGAGAAAGAGAGAGAGAGAGAGAGAGAGAGAGAGAGAGAGAGAGAGAGAGAGAAAAAGAGAGAGAATAATGTCTTTTGCGTATATACATCCTCCATTTATTTTTCTCTCTCAACGAAAAGATATGTAATAACATTAATAATGCATAAATCCTTCAGTCTCTCTTTACCAAATACACGCAAATTCTAAAATCATTATAATAGTGGATAGTGACTCGCGATTTACACATCCTCTATCAACGTTATTTTCTTCGCGCACATTCTACCTTTGTCCACAATAGATGTGACTAGTAATAAGTGTTATAATCATAGAATAACTTAAACACCTCCCATTCGACACTATACTCATATGTATATATTTATAAATTCTCGCTTTCACTCTTTTACTCTCGTTAACATCCTACTCATCGTCCAATTGGAATGATCGTTAAAACGGGGGGGATTGGAGTATTCAATTACCACAAGAAACCGACTGTGGATGTGTATATTTACGCGCTCTTTTGGTAGAAAAACTATTCTGCTTGGAAATCAATTACTCGTTTTTTTGTGGATTAGTGGAGCATTGTGAAACTTTGCACAATTGTTGGAAGAACTTGAATAAAGATTATGATATTATGTAACTTATACAGTATCTTTTCATTTTTCTAAACAATGCAAATCAGAGAAGAATCGCTGAACTAATATTATAGCTTTATGACTTTAGCAAAAAGTCCCACTGTCCAAAATAAAACGCTTGTAGTGGTAAGTATGATTAATATGCTAATAATGACACGTGTATCAGTATTAATTATAGAGATAAGGCCACTAGTGTGTGTGTGTGTGTGTGTGTGTGTGTGTGTGTGTGTGTGTGTGTGTGTGTGCGTGCGTGCGCGCGCGCGCGCGCGTGTATGTATATGTGTGTGGATGAATATAATACAATATAAATATTACAATTAAGCACAGATTCAAAGTATGATCAATAACTACACAGTATGTCCAGAAACGATTGATTTACGGAGAAACGAGTGTTATAAAGAAACGAGTGTGTATTAATGCAGGACTGTAACGTACAATTGTTATTGTCATATACTTTCATTGTAAGGTGACACAATACGAACGATATACTTACGTTGACATAATCACATTATAGACGCGTTACGTTGACATAATCACATTATAGACGCGTTATAATTGCACGAAACTGCTTCATAATTGTGTTCTCTTCCCTCTGGACATAGGTAGAATTTAATGGCCTATTGCGCGTCGATGATCTAATTATATAAACACTACAGGTCTTTCCTTCATTTAACGATTCGCGGTTTTTCTTATCGTGTATAAGAGATTTGTCTTTTTTTTTTAAAGCTACCTTAGCAGCTATCATATATAATACACTCCACGCGAGCTGTATACAAACATGATATTATAATTACAAAAATTAATAATGCCTCGTTATATTTCTAACGTCCTCTCGAAAAATTACCGGTAGAGACTTATTATGCTTCTCGTAGTAACATTCGTAAGGAGAGAAGCAAGCTGCCGGAAATCTATGGTCGTTTCAGGCGCCCGTACAAAAAAGCATTTCTATATAAATTCGAAGTGAAAGAACGAGATTTGTCGCATTCTAGATGAAATCGTCCGGCAATCGAAAAATAACGGACACACAATTTACTAGAATTGTCCGTTCTTTTCTTTTACATCTCGCCACTCGATGTTATTCGAAACACATCACGGCACATCACCAGGCACTGCGCATTGAGCATCGCTCGAGCCAGACTTCTCAGTCTGGCTTAGATTGTGTGTTACAACGTGGATTCGTGTATTACTGTTGTATTTGGATCGCTGCTGGCATTTTGAATTATGGCTGGCGGTATATGCGGTGTCAACGTGATAGACGAAGTCTTCCGTACAGGTTTCGGGGAGGCCTGCGATTAGATATTAACATATGAAAAAATTAATCAATCATTCACGGTTAAATTGCTTTTTTCACTTAACATTAAGTTAAAATCTATTTGCTTCACGGGGGTAGAAGGTGAAAAAGGAAGAAAGAGGAGGAGGATGTATATTTAACTTTAAAACAGTAGTAACGTAGTGTATGAAGAAATTACATACCCATTCTCTTCGGCACGGTGCTTCATCGTCAGAATAATGATCAATCTGTCCGATATCGGTTTCCGTCGCCGCGTTCCTCTTCTTTGGTTGCAAAGTCGCGTAATTACGACAACCTCTATTGAAATTGGTCATGTTCTTCTCTTCGACGATCTTCTCCTGGCACAGAATTTCTTGTGATTTACTTTGCTTGTTGTTCGTCACGTTGGTGGTACTTTTGTTGTTAAAATGAAACGGCGGCATTTTCGACACCCAGTGATCCAAGCCCGAGCCGGCCGAACTTGTGGACGCCGCGGATGAATTTCCAGTCGAGTTGTGAGTCAAACCTCTGCGCTGGTAGAACAGCATGTACGCCGCGTTTGTGATGAGATTGGTGTCGTTGACCGCTTCCACGCGCGTGTCGTCGAAGCAGTACCACTGCGTGTCGTACGGATTTCTGCAGAACGCCGTGTAATGCCCGCCTTGGAGATCCTGCCCATGATGATTACATATAGCGTAAAGATCGTACACATTTTCGTCGTACTTGGGGATATTGTGCTGCCGTGGTCGTGGTTTCTTCCACGGTGACCAGCCCAGACCGCCCAAAGTGGTGACGTTGTTATGCGTTGTTTGAACCCCATTGTGGGCGAGATGCGGCGTCATGTCGAAGCCGTATAAAGGAAAGTCCACCAACATGGTTAACTTGGACGTTGACCGTTGCTTGGACTGCTGACGGAATCGCTTCAAGTGTATGACTAGTATATCAGGCAACGACCAAAGGCCCAATTTCTTCACGACCTCTTGCTTTTTGTTGCAATAGGGACAGTGCCACGCGTCCTCCGCGCCCAATATCTCCGCTCGCGTGTAAAGATCGAAACATTCCTCCAGAGTCACCGCGCCGCCCAACTCGGAATTGGTTTTCAGCTGTTTCACGCTGGCGTGCTCCTCGATCTGATCGCTGTCGTCCTGTATGATGTTGCACTTGGTTACCTCGTCCCACTCGAGAATCAGTTTCACGTGTTGCGGGCCTGAGTCATCGGCGCAGAGTGCTAACGCTTGCTCGATCTGTTCCGTGTAGAGCGGATGTTCCACGCACGGATCGATGCAAGGATGCTCATCCTGAATCGGCGTCGCAGCCGGATCGGCCACACGGATATTGAAGAGACCCGGACTCTGGCTGGTCGTGAGGACATCGTCCGTCAGTGTACTGTGCATTTCTTTGAGCAACAGCTTCTGCAGATCCTCGTAGGACGTTTCACGCGACACTTGCATGGTGTACGGGCTGCCGAATCGTTGTCTCAGGTCTCCCTTGACGAGAACGTTGATCCACACCAGCAAAATGTACGCCTGCTCTGTAGGTTCCTTCAACTGCGGTAGCTCGATGCAGTAAAGCGGATCGTTTTCCATAATCGCGGACAGAGGTTGACAGTCGGAAAAGGTTCTGTGGAGAAATACAAAAAATGAAACGAAAGTCTACATATACTCACAGATATGCAAATATTTCCATTTTTGTATCCATTCTATATTTCATACAGAAAGTATATTTTTATAAAATTGTCAGAAACGTTTTAATGAAAACTTTCTTTTAACGGGAATTCAATTTTAATTTATTACATTCTTTCTCTTTTTCTTATATCTTTCTCTCAACCAACCCTTCTCTCTCTTCCATCTACATCGTTTTGTAATTTTAATATATATATATTACGATCTACCTGTGAAATCCTTCGTCATGGATCTCGGTCAACAGCATATGGTTCTCGTCCACGCCTGTATCGCTGGCTAGAATTTCTCTGAGCTCTCTCACATTGGCCGCTTGATTCACGCTCACGCCGATCTTGACTTGCCGCGGTTGTTGAGATGTATAGAGGACGTTTACGAAGAAATTCATTTGGCGATGATTTTGCGGAACTGGCACTGACACACACAGGAAGGGATCGAAGGTGTTCGATTGCCGGTGACATCTTGGACAAGTCAGGCTAGACCGGAATTGTGCTTGAAATACAGCATGTACGAAGGAGTTGTTACAGCGAACATGGTTCGCCAAAGTCTCGGCGGCGACAATGTCATCCGGTCTGCCGAATGAGTTCTGCAAAAAGAAAAAAATTGACAAATTAATAAAACAACTAGAATTCGTACAAGATGTCGAAATACTATTCGCTCTCTCTCTCTCTCTCTCTCTCTCTCTCTCTCTCTCTAACTTAAATAATAACTTATAATAATTATTATAACAAGTTTTACACTGTATTATATATTTCTGTGAGTAAGTATATTTCTGATAATACTTATAACAAAAAATTAGCATGTAAATACGTGTGCGTGCACGAAATTGTATATAATGAAATTAGTTTAAGATTTATACATCTGGAAATACTTTAACGCTATAATAAGAGGTGCGGCAGGGTAAGAAAGAGGAGGCAGGGAGGCTCTACATCCCTTTAAAGCCATTCGATATTTATTAATTTAATACGAATTTAAGTTTAAAAGAAGTAACCGGAGCACCATCATCAAACTAACACCACCCTTATTAAACATTAAATTCAGAACTGTCGCATAATTACGTGCTAATTACTTGTCGCAATTCCGAATTTTATGTTCCTATCAAATTGCTCGAAATTAATTTTAAATCTAGTGCTGTTGGATATGCTGTTAGCAACCGCATCATTAAAAAGCACATGAACATTTTAATCTAAAACAATATGCTAGAATTAATTGTTAATTTAATTACTCTAAAATGCAGCATTATATATTGTATTAGAGAATGAGCAGTAAATTCAACTATTTCAAGAGCAATTAATTCTGAATTATTTTCATACAGAGTGTGTGATTAAGTAACTTTTTTTTAATACGCTTCGCTGTTGTGAAATTTTTATTATGCGTGAGTGTTTGTCGTAATTTTTTTACTTATTTGGAGAACGACAATCTCATAATTTGGATACTTCAAGAATACTTTATATTATCTTCTTTTAATATTACTCGTATTATTTTATATTACTTAGTAATGTCTAAATAATTGTTATTTTTAACTTTCTGTTTTTTTATCGTTTCATTCTTATACGCGTGTGTTATATTATTTTGGTATTTCCAAAACCACGGAATAATTGCAATTCCTTCCTAAACTTCGAAATTAATATCCAATAAATGTTTGAATAAATTCGAAATTACAACAAATTAGTAACAAATTAGCACCTAATTATGCGATAAGCCCAAATTCAATTTTTAATGATAGGGATTGATAAAAGTGATCAAAAGTCTCCATTTCACAGGAAAAAAAGGAAACAGAAAAATATAAGGAAAGAAAAAGAGGAACACATGAAGAAATGTATCTAATAGCAACAAATTATTTCAGGCTCGTATAAAAAATTTCTTGTTCCCGTTCTTATTTGATATAAGGTGATAAATTTCTCGCAACAATTTAACGAAGTGAATTTTTTAACAGGCTTATAGTATGAGTTACATAACGTGACGGAATAGTTTTGAGGTGAGAGCCATCCGTCGCGACGAAGTCATATAAACGCCGCTGACATGTATTTCGCGAATGTAATCCTACAGTTTTGCGATTGGTTGGCCGTATTGTTTTCCGGTCATGTACAGTGCAGCGGTCGATGTTAATGTGAAACTCGGTTATCGCTCGATATACCTTAGCGACAATTATTTGTAACGCGTCTGCGCTATTAATAGAGATAGCTGACGTGGTTGTGGTTGTCTGACAGCTTCTTTTCGCGAATACGTGTCGACACGCAACTTACCGCCTCTCTTCGTATCCCCTCGTTTTTCTCGAAGGAGGAAGAGGGACGGAGCTCATTGAAGAAAAGAGTCAACTGAACGCACTAATGAACGGTTCGCAGCTTAGTTACAATTGTCGCCGATATGCTAAGATCTACGTATTTGTTAAAGTGAGCCGTTGCACTTAGCTATCTGCACGTGGATCAAAGTGATCACGTGATTATCTAATGTCCAGGAACTGCTGCTGAAATAAACTATAACTCGGTCAACTTATAAATTACACTTTTACGACGAACGTGAAAAATATTTATTTCTTCTGAAATCTGCAGAAAGAGTCGAAAAATTTTGCAATCATTTTTATAACGTTTATAAATTATTTTTCATAAATTTTTTATAATTGTAGTTAATTTTTGCAATCTATTTCAATTTCTATAATTTAATAAGTTGCAATTTTAATAAAAATTTAACAAAAATCCAAACAAGAAACTTGTTCTAAGAAATCGATAAGAGTCGTTGATCAGTGAAAATGCGAATCAAGGCCTTATGCCATTCCGAAGGCCCTAAAATCATGCCTAACTTTGACGATTTTTTGTGAGTAAATAATTTATTTTATTAAAAATCTGTTGAGAGAACTTTATTATACATATGTTAAAGTATACCAAAAAAATCTTCTTTTTTTTATATACAAAATGGCGGCGTACGAACTCCACTGTGAAACTATTTTTCATTCTCCGTGCAAAATTGCTGACTCTAGACCCTAAAATTTAAAAGTATTATTATCTACATGCCAAAGACTCTTGAGGTACGTTTTGCAACGTTTTGAAGGGGTTTTGCAGAATATCGTTTTTTTTTTTTAAATGGTGGATATTTTTACAAAATTTGTCATTTTGACCGAGAAAATTTCACACAAAAATGTTAATTGCAAAAAGAGAATTCAATATTTTGCAAAACTCCTACATACTTCAAGAGTTCTTGGCATGTAGATAATATTTTTTTAAATTTTGCTCTAGGGGATCAGCTATTTTTCCGAAATCTTGTACATCGTTTTGCACGGAAAATGAAAAATAGTTTCGCAGTAGAGTCCGTCATTTTGTAATAAAATGATCGTTATTTGTCCGTCATAAAAAAAAGAAAAATTGTTTGGTATATTTTAATAAAACAATAAAACAATTTATTTACTCACAAAAAATCATCAAAGTTGGACATGACTTTAGGGTCTTCAGGGTGGTATAAGATCTTAATAAGCACAAATGTGCAGAGTGTGAACTAATTCGCGTCTACTATTTGCATGGCGCTACTCCTTAGGAAAACTCGAGTAAACAAAGTCCATTCCGAAAGACTTAACAAAGATAGTAATTATTAAGTAGAATTTAACTAAATCAACAGTGTCGCATAAATAGGTAGCTAAAGTTATTTACCATATCACACTTATCGCATTTGAAATTGCGCGAAGATGGCCTTAAAGGTATTTTCAAATTTTAATATTAAAAGTATTACCAATAATTCTATTACGAGTGCAACTTTAACTTTTTTTCAATTTTTACTGACAAATCATATAACTATATATAACTATATATAATCACATAACTACAAGTGTTATACGTTTGCAAGCCTGGTAAAATTAGTCTTCTATGTCTAAAGATTATTACACATCGTTACATGTCGCAACAAGGTGATAAAACAACGTTTTGCATTTCGTGTTGCGACTCGCTTATGCACATTATGAAATGCATGGCTCACGGACATACGTCCATTTAACAGTGGAGCAACTGATTAAACAAACTTAATTACTATACTTAGTAATTGATATATTTAATATAACTATATTTAACAAGTATATTTAATTAATAGTTTAATAGTATAATAATTACTAGTTAAATAATTACTATAATAGTATAATAATTACTAGTATAATAATTAATAGTATAATAATTACTAGTTTTACTTAAATATTATTAAGATATAAAGTAAGAATAGCGCTATGTAAATAATGGCCGGAAATTAGTTTGTATATCTTTTTTATTTTATATATCTTTATGTACTTTGAAAGTAAGATCCATTGTGAAATATTTGTATTTGCAGATAAATTAAAAAGAAAACACAGAAATTATAACTCAACGAAATATTAAGAATGAAAGATATTTAAGAATGAAGATTTTACAGAAAGTTTATCAGTGTTCAATTTGAGAACCATTATTCAGACAAATGCAACAATCTACGATGTACAGCTTGTCTCATTTAAGCTGATAAGCATTGATAATTTTCTGTCGATCACATTGTGATGATATAATCGGATGATATAATTCGTTGCCATCAAAGTTTACGCTGCCATATTCTGCTGTTTTATCATCGTTTATATATATACAGGGTGTTCAAAAAGTCCCGGACCGGTGAAATATCTCGAAAACTAAGCATTTTAGAAAAAAATGTTTCAGATAAAAGTTGTGGCGTTTAAAAAGATGTATTTACTGATCACATCAGTTTGACCTT